TATGCATGTAAACGTTTTAAACATAATGATAATTGTCAATTATTTTATCATATTTTATCTGGAGAGGTAATTTGTTTAATTTTCTATGTAGAAGTTTAGTTTTTGAAATAATATATTTTAGGCTGATGAAGATATTTATCATTATACAAAAAATCTTATTGAACAACTTGCTGAACGTATTATTAAAGAAAGTGAAACATATCCAAATGGTTCTGTTACAACTGAAAAATTTCAAAATATGTTAACAAAATATTTACCAAATAAATCAGCAAATGATATTTCGGAATTAGTTGCTGCTGCTGAAAAAGAACAACCGCATGAAGAGCAAATTTCGTTAGCTAAATTATTTTCTGTTGTAAGTTGAAACAATTTTCTGTCTGATTCTTCTCGTCCTCATAGCAACGCTGGAAAGCAGAAGTAAACATTTATTGGGCACGTTTCCATAACAACTCAGATCAACACGCATTCGGCTCTATTTTTCAGAGTTCTTTAACAAAGAAAAAAGGCACTGAACGGCATTAACAATAAGACTTAGAATATTCTAGAACATTCTCAAGTCTTTCTTGTAATTTAAATAGATGACATACGTCTATAAATATTCTAAATAGTGTAGGTTTTGATTTTTGCATAGATGAAGAAAAGTATTTCAAAATAGATAGAATAAAATACTTCCCTTATGATTAACAACAGCAACTAGTTCACATTTTCATCTCGCAGGATTTTGTATTAACAGCTTGTTTTTTTCATGTTAAAAATATTCGAAGTACATTAAGTGTTTTTTCTTGTATCTAGGATGACGAAGATAATTATGGAGAATTTATTCGAGTTTTAAAACGACAATTAAATGAAGATAAACAAAGTTATATTCATGATGTAGTAGAAAAAATTGAAAACTTAAGGTAAAAAAAAAAATATTTTTTGCAAAATACAAAATTTTTCTTTTCTTCCATTATTAAGTTCTGTTAACGCAAAAGATTTGGAACAAACTTTACGTGCTATTAATCCTCATATTCAATCAAATGAATTAGCTCACGTTGTTCAATGGACATTTGAAGCAAAAGATGGTAGTCAAATGCCATCAATGAATGTTAATGATGTTCTACAACGCCTTCAAAATGGTGTCTTTTATCGACAACACGCTTTATCCTCATAAATATATATTTTTTTTTATTAATAAAATAAATTTCGAATAAGTTTATATGCTTTTGACCATGATTGAAACAATTCAATATTAATTAATTTAATATCAGTATATGATAAAAGTTCTTTAAAATAATAGATATTAGGTCGTTGTTCAAATGCTAATGTCAAACAATTTTTATGTTCATATGTTTCAGTATGATTAAGATGTTTAAGATAAACTGTACCATATAACTGATATTTATAATAATGTTTCATAATTTTCCAACATTGTTTACGTTTATATTTAATAATTTGATGTAAGACATTTTCACCTTTATCATTTTGAAGATCAAGACGCGCACCAGATTCAATTAAAACTTCGAAGAAAGGAATTTTCTACATAAAAAAAAATACGAATTTAGAAGAAAAAAACAAACATGTTAAATTAACCATACATTCATCATAACAGTATAATGAGCAGCTGTATGACCTGTTAGTGTTTGTATATTAAGATTGCATTCAGGTTTTTTAACAAGAGCCATCATAATAGTTGTATTAGTTGATGTAAGAGAATCTATTAATGCTGTACGATTTTCATGATCAGTTTCATTTATATTCACACCACGATTAAGTAGAAAAAGAACACCGTCATACCAGCCTACTTCAGCAGCAATAGAAAGTAATTTTCGACCTGTATCTTGTTCACCATAATTAAATAAATGAGGTAACATTTCTTTTTGACTAAGAATAGTAAGAATTTCTTTTGAATGTAAACGAAATCCATTAAGAATATGAAAGTCTTCAATTAAATTTTGAGATTTTTGTTTCGTAGATGAAGAAAAATATTTTTTTTCTTGTTCAGTACGAACAATTTGAGCAATTTTTTTCAGTTCTTCAGCATCAGCTAAATCACCAATATTAACTTTAAGAGAATCTGATGAATAACAATCTGTATTATCTTGTTGTTTAGTTTTAGACGAACGAAAAATTGATTTAGATTTAATAAAATTTAATACAGAATCATAATATTGATCTCCACCAGCTTCAACATTCGTCGATGTTGAACTTCTTGATGATAATTCTAATAACAAAATAATCTATGACAATTAAAACAGAAAAAAACAATAGGCATTGTTTCATTGTATAAGAAATTTAATGAAATATTGATTTATGATAATTTCAATTCATTCATTAACATTGTTATTCATTTTCGAGGTGATGTCTATGAAAGATGGATTATCTTCATCTCTTTTATCCTCCTCTTTTTCGATTATTTTAATACATAATACGATTTCTTATAGAAGGTCTTTGTGTTGTAAGTTAATAAGGTTAGATGTATTTGAATTCAATTAAAGGTCTCTTCACCGAATTAATCTATTTAAAACACAGGTTACTATTGTACTGAGATGTTCGAATTTGAAAGTATTTCGGGTGCATGTAACATAATCATAAATGAAAATTTTAGCAGAATTTTTTTCTCATATTTGGATATCAGTTGTAGAATTGCACGTGACAAGGGTAGTTCTAAAAATTGTGGATATCGTCAAAACTTAAACAAAAAAGATAGAGTTCGAAATGAACATCATACGGCCATTAAAATAACCAGGAGTGTCCATACCCATAAAAAGAACTATATTCCAGTTGAAAATCAAAAAGGGCAGTCGAGAATTGGTGTTCGTAGGCTTTACAGGTGCCCAAGAAGAAAAAGAATACTTCAATTAAAAAAAAAATATTTAAAGGAAATCAGAATTCGAAACGAAGGACGAATACTCTTGCTTATCAGCTATCTGGCGGTATGGGGTGCTACTTGACAACAGGTTCAATAGCACAATATCTTTCCTACAACCATGGCAAGCTGTATCTCCGACCAGAAGGTCGATCTGGCACAGAATTCTTATGCTTAATTACTCGAGTCTCACCGTAAACACTAACTAATCACAAGAGCAGATGTGTATCACAACAAAGACAGCATGCTATCGGCTGAGTAATCCCAGAGAAATAGCTATTAGAGACTTGTCGATGGTCATTTCTTGACTGGTAGTACTGATATTTTCACACAGTACATTATGAATGGATCTATGTCGAACAATGTAACCACTTACGAGGGAACCGCCCGAAGTGATTCAAAGCTTTTAAGCCGATATTTTGCCCATAAGTAGAGTCCAATGAGACTAGAGAAAGTCCAAAAGGACAAGGGCCCATGGGCCTTCCTTCTCGAGTTAGGGTCATTTTACTGCGTTTATCACCTATGATACGATATTCACCGAAAAATCAAATTAAGGAGTTTCGACCTGAAATTTTGCTCACATATAGGTCTTGTGGCCCGTATACTAGTCTGAAAGTTTAAGCCAAAACGAATGCACTGTTCTCGAAATATTAAGTTTTCAAGAAAAGTCGATTCTTTTGGTATGTATGCAACATGGCACTGCTTTCTTGAGATTACAATATCTCGAGAATGGCGCTTTCGTTTTGGCTTAAACTTTCAGGCTAATATACGAGCCACAAGACCTACATGCGGGCAAAATTTCAGGTCGAAACTCCTTAATTTGATTTTTCGCTGAATATCCTATCATAGGTGATAAACCCAGTAAAATGACCATAACTCGAGAAGGAAGGCCCATGGGCCCTTGTCCTTTTGAACTTTTTCTAATCTCATTGGACTCTACTTATCGGCAAAATATCGGCTTAAAAGCTTTGAATCACTTCGGGCGGTTCCCTCGTTAGTCAGGGCAGGCGAGTTTTGAGTCTATTTCCTCTGGTATTTGAAAATCACAGTATCGTCGATTTTTTTATACAACTCAACGAGCTCTATCCAAATATAACAAAAACAAATTTGCTCAAATTTAGATTTGTGAATACATAGCATACACTGTAAATATTTGTAGAATTGGAATATCTCAGTCAAACAATGACCTACAATTTAATTATGTTAGTTTAGTAGTGAGAGCTTTCATATCCCCACGAAAAAGTCAATTTTCGTCAAAATAATGAAGATTGAGATACATGCATAACAAGATAGCCCGAGGTCTAATCTTTCATAGATGACATGATCTTTTATTTGACAACTATTTTTTTCCAAGAGTTTGTGATTCTTTTCAGAAACAGCTGGAAGTATTTTTTGCCTTTTGTTTGCTTATTCGTTTTTTTTAATTATGCATTCCAGAGTTCTTTGTTGGCCTTCATTCTATATAACAAATTTTCTTTTGTTTGAAAGAATATGTCAAGATGCAGGACATGGCAAAGCTCCTTTTTCTATATCAGGCGTTGCTACAATTATATAAAAGAGTACTTTCATAATTAGAGCACCAGGTTTTGGGGCATTAAACTTTTCTCCCCTTAAAAAGTAATAATTTTAAAAAAAGATTCTGTCACTCTTCTTCAAATAAAAAATAATTAGGAATATCCAACGAAAGTCATAGAAAGTTTTAGGTTGCCAAATGAGATATTTTTTACCCTTGTTTGTTGCATATTTTCCAAAAATTCGATGGGATTTAAATATATCTGACTCAATATTGATTTTTGAAATGAAGCGGGAAGGTCTTACTTCGATCCGACTATATCTAATTACTTTCATTGTTTACTAATCTTTTGCTAAAATTTTACTAACCATCATTTGTTTCATTTATCATATTTTATAGTATAATTGATTTAATCGAAATCAACCATGTATTATTCATTTATACATAACAAAATTTAAATTCGAAATATTTCTCGCGCATAAATTTTCTGTTATTTTTTTCTTGTCAGATCCAATTCTTAAGTAAGAAGGAAGAACAGAGAGAATATAACAACTCGATGTGTACATTTTGTCAAACAAACAAATGAAATAAGAAAAAAAAAGATTTGCTAAAAATACATGACCAAAAGAAAAGAAAACTTTAGACAAGTGTTTCGAGTTGACTATTTTGTGTATGAAGTTTTTGATGTATAAGAGACATTGTATGATTATTATTATTATCATCACTTGTTAAAGAATTTATTCCTGAATCTTCATCAGCTTCTTTCATAGAAGAAAATGCAACATTTGTTGCTGTTGTTGTTATATCAAGTGTATCATATGTTGATTGTTCATCAATATTATTTGTTCGAAAATTTTGTTGTATTAAATAATTTGGTGTTAAAGATCTTGATGTTGTCATAAAATTTGGTGATGTTTCATATTCAAGATATTTAAGTTCATCATATTTTGTTGCAAGTAATATTTCAATTTCACGTAATGATAAATCAAAATCATGCATCTCTTTTGATTGTATACGTGATAATTCTCTACTGCGATATATAGAATTTTTTAATGTTATTAAATCATTTGATATTGAAGAATTATTATCATTTATATTTGATGATAATGTACAAGGTAATATATCATAATGTTGTTGATGTAAAACATGATTTAATTCATTTGATATAGCTTGTTCAACAGCATATAATATATTTGTTTTTTCATCAATACGTTCTTGCATATTTATTATTGAATTACATAATTGTGTTGCAAATAGAAGTTGATCTTGTTCTTCAAATTGATGAGAAAATAAACGTGATACATCATTTAATGTTACTTCATTATTTAATATTAAAGATGATTCTTGTAAATAAGAATTTCTTGTTAGTGTATTGTTCGAAATAGGTGTTAGAAAATTTTCTGTTTGATGAATTTTTTCATCAAGATAATCAAGTAAACGTTTTTGTCTTTCAATTATATTCATATTTTCATGTATATCAGTTAAAGATTTTCGACGACAAGTTATTTGTGATTGTCCTTGAGTATTTCCAATAGATACTAATGATGAATCGGATTGTGAAGATGTAAGTAATGATGGTACAGGTGATATTGATTGAGATTTTGCTGATAAAAACCGACGAAAAATTTTTGAACGAAATTTTGATATTGATGCGTTATTATCAATTAATGATGATGTTGATATAAGATGAAGAATTGTTAATGGTAATTTATCAAATTGCCAATTTTTATATGCTTTTATCACTTTAGCACGACCTTTCATAACACGTTGAGTGATAAGTGATGGTGTTTCACAATCATTATTATTTGATGATGATAATGACGATACTGTCAATTGTGTACATTCAGCTATAGCATAACCTGTGATATTATTGTTTGATGATGAATTTGTTGTTCCGGATGCTTTAAGTAAATCAGCTTGAGCTAATAAAGCATAGATGAGATCATCGAATGTTGTCTTTTTTGTTATACCAGTTACCCATTTACGTTTACCCTGTACCCAAACAGGTATTTCAAGTGTCAATTCAGTAGTATCCGATGAATTATTATTATTATTATTATTTGTTGTTGCCGTTGTTGTCGACATGTTTACAATACGTTCGTCTACAATAAATGTTTAAATATGCTTTGAGCGATAATATTTGATTAAGGATAATGTCTGATTTTTTTTTCTTTTCCAATCATTTTTATTGAGATGATCGAGAAAGAGAAAAAAAAGCGGGAAGCCTTGATTGCAAGGTAGTATGCATAAATAAAAAGGGAGAAAGGGAGTACTTGTGAGACGTAAGCTTAATATATGAATGGATAAAGAAGAACAACAATGGATGTATGTTGGGTCAACATTATTGCTTTGAATCAAAGCAAAGAGACTGATATTCGAACCTTTTAGAACAGAAGCCGACTAAGTTATAACAATAGAATCTAAGCTGATACATGTCTATCCACACAATTTCATTCATTCTTTTCTTATATGTATATATATAAAGAGAAAGATGGATACTAAAATAAACAAACTAAATCAAAAGCAGGAATCTACATACCTTCTATAAAATCTCTAATGTAAGCTTTTCTCTCGTTTGTTCGATTTGCTTATATTGTTTTTTTTTCTAAGCTATCAAGACAGCTGTGTTGATGTAATGCTGTAATCATCCGTATGCACTTTTGTTCTCATCTTTGTTCTAATCAAATCTAAGCAATATGCCTTCTTTATTCATTACAGAAGCTTACTTTTCTATCATTCCTGTTCTCATTCTCAATGTCTGTTGTATGTTATGGTAACCATTAGAGTTAAATATTCTTGTTTACACTCACCATCATGATGTAATCCCTGTATTTTTTCTCATATTATAATGACCTACCTCGTCTGATGACTAGTACGTTGTTGCCGAGATGCAGACAGACGAACGCCGCTCAATCTTTTCTTTTTTCTTGTCTAATATACAATTTTACCAATATCGCACACACACGCATGCACACCCACACCCATACACGCGTGCATGAATGAAGAGTAGAACGTTATGAGAGACTAACAGCCGTATTCGACGTTTTCTTTTTCTTTTTCTTCGTTATACGTCCGTTCATACATATCGATATGTCCCTACTCTTCTCTCGTCGGTTAGACAGAGAGGTGAATACATGCATCTGTTCCTTCTCTCTATTTCTTTTTTTTTTTTTGTTATTTCTAGGTCACTCTTTAATAAATGATTGAATCAATCGTTATGCATGGAATTTTTATTAATAAATAAAAATAAAAATTAGGTGTATGACGCTTCTTAGAACTAGAAGTGATATATTTTGAGGTGTTCAATCAGCAGACAAAAGAGAGAGAGAGAGGAAAGGGTACGAAAAAAAACTTTTTTTGCTCATGTCATTCATAGTCTTCTACTAGGCAAACCTAATTGTTGTCTGATGCACTTGAATATAATTACTTGTGTTTGCGTAATATGACAACTCAGATACGATTACGGACCAATTTACATTTGATATGGAAAAAATAGTGACAGGAAGTAGTTTTACACTTGGTTATGTATATATATATTTTGAAAGAAAGAGAACAAAAAAAATGATGTGCATATAAAAAGCAAAACTATTCATTGTCAAATAGACATAAATGAGTGAAAGAAAAAAAAACTACATGCGCATTTATACAATTATATGTCTATCGGCCATAACGGAAACGAGTATATGTGCTTGATTCAATCAACAATTTGAACATCCGGATTCCTTTTTTTTTTTTACTAACTAATAAACGTTGATACTAACAGGAAGGATAGGAAAGAAAAATTGACTGTTAAATAAAAGAAAAAGGACATCACTAGTCTATTGGAGTTTCATGGTTGTCGTAGATAAATGATTTAAAAGTGTCAAACATATAGAAAAAAAAGATGAAGACAAAAGATAATTGCTTTTTATGTTTGTCGATGATATCGAGTGTTCTTCGCGCTTGGCGTATAGTAATCCCTCTAGCATATACATTCAGCAGCAATGGTTTCTTTTCTTTTCCCTTGTTCGCAAACACACACACACACACACACAAGCAGTTGATCGATATTCAATTACATCATACATATGCGAATATGCACAGCCTTGTGTTCACTGCTGTAATTTTCTTCTTACAGAATTTATATATACAGCAGCAGTCATTTCTTCTCAAGAGAAAATGAATGAAATAGAACTCGTAATCAAGACAGTTGACGGCAAAAATCGACAGATGCTTGAAGCAAATATCACTTTTAATTAGTCATGATTTATTATTTTGTAAGCTGTTACGATAAAAACCTAACTACTATATATTATAGATTTATATCAAATATATCTTCTTATCAATTTCTTATGATATAAAAGATCTTAAATATATCTATTTGTAATCTTGCTATCGATGGTATTTATTATCATTGTATGAAATCAAATTAATATTAAATTGATTTCTTGTAAATATTTTTTTTTCTTTTAATTAAACTGAGTTAACATTAAAATAAAAACTTTTCTTTAAAGAAAAAGAATAATAATACGTCTTACTTACTATCTCCTCGTATGCATTGATTCATCATTATTATTTTATGCTTAAACGTAAGATGTCTGACTGTATGTATGGTCTCCTTTATATTTTTTTTGTGTAATAAGCAGATGGAATATACACAACAACGATAACAAATGTCGTCATCTTTCTCTCTCTCTCTTTCACATTCTCATATACATTCGATAATTGATTAGAAAATCCACACAAAGGAGTAAATTCTAGCGAAAGAAAAGACAAGAAATTGATCGAATAGTGAGAATTGTCAAGTATATCATACATGCTGATTAGCATGACAGACAAGTAAATATATAAATATATGATTTTCACGGTATCTCCTAAAGACCATGAACTTCTTTTTTTTTTTGGCTTTATATTTATTATGGCCTTTCACTTAGTAAATGTTAATATGGGTCATTTCAACAATTTACTGTTACATGCCATTGTTGTCGAACATTTTAAGTTTGAATAAACATTAACACGTTCGACAAATATAACCTCGAGTAACGAAACCTTAGAGCATTATATATGTTCGTCCATTTGCTGAATATTAATAATATGATGCATTTACATGTTCGTTTGACTCTATGCCTTTAAGTCTAGACGATTAATTGAAATGTTAACTGTAGTTATAAATGACGAACAAGGTTGATATAAAAAAAAATGTACATTCGTCAAGAAACTTACGTTTATATAATGCATGTTGAGTCGAGTTACTTTTTCAATTAACCGTATCTGATTTTCTGTCGTATAATAAACTGTCGATGACAAAAAAAAAAGTATACTGTATAGAAAGATCATGAACAATCGAGTAAATATATATAGGTCTAACTATTAAAAAAAAATCTCTTGAGAGATCAGAGAAAAAAGAATAATAAGAAAAAAAGCGTAACTCTCACCTTGACGTTAAAAGCCAGAAACATACGATCAATGAGTTTGATCAACAACGTTTGAAGAATAGTTATATGAATTTATGAATGTGTTATCATGCGTTTCTACCGTTGAATAATTATCTTATTGCCGTTCGCATTTCCTAATGGCTTTTTCCTCTTGTCTTTTGATGATTGATTGTAGGCTTTTTTTTCTTGTCGTTGTTTTTTTCACTTTTTCATTGTCACTAAACAGGTATAGAAAAAGACGACGTGTTGAGATGTGACCGAAGAACGCGACGAAGCGAGAATGTTCGTTCTTTATTCTATTCTATTATTCTTTCTCTTGTGTATCCGCCCATTTCTTTTCTCTCTCTCTCCCTCTCTTGGGATGATGACGGTAGTTTAGTGTGTGCTAATATGAACTTGGAAGCTGGCTGAAATCGAAATTGTTTTGAGTAGAGCAAGAAGAAGAAAGTGACCTTTTCACCGTGCTTGACATATGCTCAATGGACGAGAAAAGGAAGAAGAAGCAGGACAGGACATCATACACACACATAAAGAAAGGTGTTTTTTTTTAATATAACTCAAAGGGTGTCATAATTATTTGACTGCTGAAATCGGATATGAATCTATAAATAGTTAGTAATACGAAATAAAAAGGGAAAAATAATAAATTGTTAAGTCTTAGATTTTTCTATTGATAAAAGAAGGATTATGATCATCGAAAGAAATATAATGATGTCCATCGAACGAGAAAAATTGGGATGGTCTTAATAATATAAGTTAATCTCTCTGTACACAATCTCGATCGAATTTAAATCACACAATGTGTCTCATGATAATTCAAATAAAGTAAAACATTTTACTATGATTATTTGTGCAAAAACAAAAATGAAAGATTGAAAAAAAAACAATATCACATAAAATATTATTGAATATAAATTGATATATTACGAATGTTAACTCGAAAAAAAGTACGATTAAAAATCTTATGTGAATGAATTCTTCGCAAGGAAAAAATTTTAAAACGCCTACTGACGACATCTTTGTTAAAGTTCATTTTAAAATTCAAACAATGAGTTTTTGTGTCATGGTAAACATCAAGCAAAATGGTCGATTAAAACTATCAATCATACAAGCATTTTTATTCTTATTTTGGCACGCTTAACCATGACAACATTAAATTCAGCTTCACCTGTTCATCTTCAAATTCAAACTATCTTTGGTGTTCGATCACAACTTGAATCAAGTTTATTTTTTTCTGATGAACATACAGTTATTTATCCAGCTGGAAATCAATTTGTTCTTGCTAATGTTGAAACAAAGGGTCAACGTATTTTTCGATGCAATGAATTAGAACATATCGATTGTATTATTGTACATTCGAATGCTGCTGTTATTGCAGTTGTTGCTAGTGGTATGAACGCTGATAAAGAAAATACTACCATTTCTTTTTATGATTTGCATACGACAATTGGAAAAAGAAAACGGATGTTTGAATTACGTGATGGACCAATGACAATAATATCAATGGCTTTTTCACATGATGCTAAATATTTAGCTATACTTGAATGTGGAAATCGTGAATATACACTATCCCTTTGGCTTTGGCAAAAATCACGTCTTTCGGCATCAGTTAAATTAGGCCAAGCTGAAGGTGTAACTGTATTATCACAAGTATTATTTCATCCAAATGAT